CGGATTCCTCGCAATAGTCTTTGGCCCAATTTTATTCACTGTTTTGCTGACATATGACGCGTATGGGGGAAAAAAAAAAAAAAGAAACGCCGGGTCTATTGCCGATGATGATGATGATGGTAGTGGTGGTAGTAGTGGTGGGTAGTGATGGTGATGTACAATTCATGTATATATTTATATTTGTATGTATAAATCGCCAGCTTATTTGCCCTCCTTGTCCTTCTCCTTGTTCTCGTCGACCTCCTTGTCCTTCTCGACGTCCTTCTCCTCTTTGTCAGCCTTCTCCTTGTCGCCCTCCTTCTCCTCCTTGGACTCCTTGGTCTCCTTGGCTTCCTCCTTTCCCTCCTTTTCCTCGGTTTTTTCCGGCTTGGGCAGATGCGTGTTCATGTCGAGGGTCGAGCAGATCTCGTCCCAGTCCGGGAAGCAGCGCTCCTTCATGCGCGAGCAGTGGCCCACGAGATATATGTACTTTTTTTTTCTTAATCGTGTCGTGTTACTTCGGCTACGAGAATGAGAAGATGGCTTCGAGCCGTGTGTCGTTACAATGCGTGTGTATGTGTGTATGTGTACGTGTATCGTGTATCACGTGTGTTTTACATTTATTAATAATGAGTAAAGCGCCAATGCAATATGAACAACGAGCGTCGTCGCTTTGACAATTAAAAATCGAAAAACGCCGCCGTGACGCAAATTAGCCAGTGCGACACCGACCCGATCTCGCCTCTCGTGAGGCAAAAGCGCAAATGCAATACAAGTATGGTCGCCGAACAAGAGCTAAACTGTTCCTACCATTTCGATCGCGCGTAGAAACGGAGGTGACGCGCTTTGCGTTTCCGTTTTTGCGCGGATCTACCAATCGGACGTGCTATTGTTCGGCGGAATCGCTTTTGATGGGGTGATGAGAACTGCCGGTGTGTTTTGTCGTCGAAAGAGGCGAGATCGAGCGTCTGGCTGTTTGGTTTATATTATATATATTTTTTAGCGGCGTTAAGGCGATGCAAAAGTCCCTTGCGGAGACGACTGAGTGATGACGTTTAACGAGCCAATACATCTAATGCACGTTATTTTATTTCTTTATTTTTTTTGCAAGCTGCAACTCAGCATTATTACTATTATATACCAATGCTGAGATTTTGAACGCCTTACAATAAACTAGCTAAAACTAAATTTTGTTTTTGTTTTTTCCAAACGTATCTAGAAGTTTGTGGAAAATATTATTCGTCGAGTTGTATGAGTATTTATGATGAAAAAAAAGTTAAAAAGGACCGTCAGAATCTCGTTAAGCCAGCTTAATCTCGAAGCTTAACAGAATTTACAAGTATAAAATTTCAAAACGTGCGCGCAACGCTTGAAAAGGATAAAAAAAAAAAAAAACTCAGTCGTGGGCCCGAAGAGCTTCCTCGTCCCCTTAAATCCTACGAATTACATAGCATATTTTGCCATCATCTTTCCACTCGACCGCTTTTCCTTAATTATTAATCCATAAAATTTCTTTTAAACTCTTCGCTTCTTCCGCAATCGCATCAAGTGTTACTTTTTTGTCCTATTATAACTACGAACTAACGCTTGACATAGTCCTCCGATGCAGCGCATGTAATCATCACAGTCTAGCCCGCTAACTCTACTCAATATCCTCAATTCTTTTTTTTTCGCTTTTCCTTTTCTTTATCTTTTACTTATTATTAAGCATACTTAGCGTGTATACGTGTGTCTACAAGGGTTACTGTTTGCTCGTCGCAGACGTTTACGCATTCTTTTTCGTTTCCGTTTAATTGCATTGAGTCAGAGCTAATGGACTAGCGAGGCTAATCTGCGACGTTTTTTTGTCATTTGCTTGTGGTATTTTATACTATTTTTTTTTTTTGCTGCAATCATAGTTTTTTCGCTCCATTTGCGATTGACAAGATCGTGATACCGTCGAGAGTGATTGCAGTGTACTCTTTTTTTTATTTTTTCATCAATAATAAAAAAAAAACACACGCACCGGAGGGTGGAAATTCGTAAAAAAAAAAGAAGATTGGCTATTTTTACATCGAAAGAATTCATATTACAATTTTTTTTTTTTCTTTGTTGTAAATTTTTTTTCTCTTACGAAAGAGTTTGACCACAAATTACGATACTTTTCAGTACTTATAACAAAAACTCGTTTCGTCGTTTGGTAACTAGAATCATACTTTTGTAAATTGCGAATTTCCTTTTTTTTCCACTATGATTAACAATGACAAGCTTTTTTTGCGATCGATAATATTGCAGTTATACTCTATGGCTTACTAATGACTTAATTAAACTATATGAAAAAAAAAAAATAATAAATCAAGTCTGTCAGAGGGAGAGACCGGAAATTTTTAATATTGCAATAAAACTTTTTTCTTTATTTTCGTGTACTTTTCACTTATAAAATACTGCTGCAAAGTCGCAATACATTAAACGCATACACATAACATATAATCATGACAATATTTATATATAAAAAGGCTGATTATGAACAAAACTGAATAAACAGAAGGAAATTTACACATTACGGTGAAACAAAAGGAAAAAAAAAAAAAAAAAAAAAAAAAAAAAAAAAAAAAANAAAAAAAAAAAAAAAAAAAAAAAAAAAAAAAAAAAAAAAAAAAAAAAAAAAAAAAAAAGAATTGATACACAATGGCAGGAGGGAAACGTCCTTTCATTTTTTTTCGTCCCTTATGAAACACACTTTTTCTTCCCCCCATCGTATGAAATAAACATTAACGTTTGTTTTTTTTGTTCGTCGAAAATTATATAAACACACATGCATTCTACTTGCCTCTTCTTTCAAAGAGCGTCCTATTAGAGAGCATCAGGTATACAAAAATAAGTCCAACGTCACTAAAAAATAAAGGAAAAAACGTAATTTTCTTTCGCTCTCTCTCTTTTTTTCCAACAACGCATCATCAAATCGCATAATATCTCGTCCCTCTAAAAAATCTCGCCCTCCTAGCGATTCTAAAATGCATTACTCGCACAAATATCTTTCGAATAGATAGCAATCATAATGTAAACCGTCTTTTCTATCAAGACATCATCATCATCATTCATCATCATCATCACCATTCTTGTTGGGAAGGGAGGGGAGAAGTATCGGATTCCTCGCAATAGTCATTGGCCCAATTTTATTCACTGTTTTGCTGACATATGACGCGTATGGGGGAAAAAAAAAAAAAAGAAACGCCGGGTCTATTGCCGATGATGATGATGATGGTAGTGGTGGTAGTAGTGGTGGGTAGTGATGGTGATGTACAATTCATGTATATATTTATATTTGTATGTATAAATCGCCAGCTTATTTGCCCTCCTTGTCCTTCTCCTTGTTCTCGTCGACCTCCTTGTCCTTCTCGACGTCCTTCTCCTCTTTGTCAGCCTTCTCCTTGTCGCCCTCCTTCTCCTCCTTGGACTCCTTGGTCTCCTTGGCTTCCTCCTTTCCCTCCTTTTCCTCGGTTTTTTCCGGCTTGGGCAGATGCGTGTTCATGTCGAGGGTCGAGCAGATCTCGTCCCAGTCCGGGAAGCAGCGCTCCTTCATGCGCGAGCAGTGGCCCACGAGGTTCGGGCAGTTCTCCTGCATGTAGTCCCGTAGCGAGAACGGCGTCTCCCTGTCGATGTACAGGATCTGTGCCAGATTGGCGAACGCCACGACGTCGAGCTAGGAAAAAAAAAAAAAATAAATAAATTATCATCATATTGCTTGTTTTTTTTTGTTCTGCTATAGTATATACTAAATGAAGGTGATGATTACCGTGGTTGGCTCGTCACCGAAGAAGAACGGCTTGTCGGCGAGCATGTCGCTGAGCACCTTGAGATCGTCGCAGCCAAACTGGATCACCTCCTCGGGCTTGTGGACGCCCATACCCTGAGCCTTGACCTTTTTGGCGCCCTGAAACCAATTGAACTAACTCTCACTACCGATGACCCATAACGCTTCATTCTTAAATTCATTCCCGATTACCATGTACACCCGTGTCTCTGTTTACGTTTTGTTTTTTTCTTTGGATAAGTAAATCATCTTTTTTTTTTTTTTTCTCTCAAATAAAAATTTTTAAAAAAATAGCAGGGGCATGAAAGAGAAAAGGAGCCGTGAGGAAGAGACGGGCCGAGCAAAAAAAGCCTCACCTTGCGGCCAAACGTGAACTTGAAGCATATGTTGAGGATGCTGTTGGGTATGCGGGTGCCAAGGGCGTGCTGGAGATTGATCTTGTACCCCTTGAGCATTTGGTCGAGGTTCTTGGTGCGCCAGCAATTGATCACCCATACGAGGTGGTTCTCGATCATCGAGATAGTCGCGTGCTGGACGGACTTTTGCTCGGCGTTGAGGCACCCGTCCAGGTCCTTCTCGTACTTTTGGCCGAGTTCGCGCAGTATGATGGCGCTGTCGGCTATCTCCTCGCCGTTCACCTCGACAAACGGCAACTGGCCCTTCTTCGAGCGGAACTTCATCTTGTGATCGACGTTCTGTGCAGACAAACAGAGAGTTTTTTATTTTTTTATTTTATTTTTTTAATCATACTTAATAACTGTATACCCATGCCCCGTTGATCGTTGCACGTGAGTGTATAGTATCGTGAGGACGTACACGTTTTCTTCTCTCTTGTAGCTCTTCTGCTGAAAATATTTCATAAAAGCTGCCTCAAAAAACTTTCCTTACACATCGGAGCCCCTCAAAATTTGCTCTCGCACAATGTGAATAGAACACGCCCAATAGCGGCAAGGGGGGAGGGAGGGTGAGGAAAGCTCGCAACGTCAACGTTCTTCTCTCGCTCAACTTTTGCCCCCAAGGCCACACGTGTTTGCGCTTCCTATCCCCCCGCCCTTTTTTTTCCCTCGAGTTCCTCGCGCAGTCGTTCCTCCGAAATAGCCCTTGAGAAAACAGAGAGAGAGAGAGACACCGCGCACACGTGTTGGTTCCACATTACATTAGACCCACTCCATCACGGAATGCCTTCGACAAGGCAGACGGGAATAACAACAATATAATTGCCGTGAGAGCGGGAAAATGTCTTATTTCTATATTCCGTGCGCCTGTGCGCGCGATAAGGGCTGTTTCCCTTGAAAGCTGGGCGCGGCGCTCGGGGGGATGCTTTTTCGGGGATTGCCGAATTTTAGCAAGGGAATATAGCATAACCTACGCTCTTTGCTCTCTCTCTTACCTCTCTTGAGGGAAGGAGTATATTATGTATAAAGGCCTTTCAGGGGAAACTCGCCGCTGAAAGAGATATTAATTTTCTGACTCTCCCTCTCTTTTAGGAGGGAACGATGGTTTGTTTTTCCTCTTTATTATACCACGTGGATGAAAATTCAGAAGCTTGATCGTGTAATCGCGCTCAAAGGAGCTATACAAGCACATACACGAGGGTGCTCAAAAGAGCGTATCCACTTTTCTTTTCTTTCTTTCTTTTTTTTTTTTTTTTTTTTTTTTTTTTTTTTTTTTTTTTTTTTTTTTTTTTTTTTTCCTCGGGGATTACTAGGGTTGATTCGCTATTAGGTTGCGAGTTGCAAGACGACGAAGCAATTTTTTGCCGATATTTTTACCGTACAACGAACAAAAGGAAATACGTGGATGAAACAGTTTTTCTTTTTTTTTTTAAATGTGTTTTAGAGAGAGAGAGATAAAAGAACAGAAACATATGTACAAAAAGAGGAGGGAGAGAAAGATGAAAATAGTGATCCACAGGATTTATTTAGCGCTCACGCTCCGGGTAATTTGCGCGCTCTAATAACCATCGGGAAATCATCACGCGGGCGTAAAGTATACGCTCCAAGTTACGGGAGGATTATGTACTGACTTTTCCCAATACCTAAGCTCCAGCGGGGCCTTTTACATTAATTGTCTTCCCAGAAACAATAGTACATTGTACAGGCCTAGGAAAACTCGGTCACTACGAACACGTTTTTTTTTTTTTTATTTTTTTTTTCTTCTACACCTTGCCAAAGTATAGAGGGAAAGAGAAATATCTAGTCTGACAAATTAAACACGTATACTATAGAATGTACACCACGCAGTGAGGGGAGGAAGACCATTTATAAGAACTGTATACTTCCCCTCCTGAAAAGGGATGGTGGAAAATGAGCAATTATTGGGGGGACACTCCTTATCTCTGTCCCCGACTCGGGCGCTATACTATACAATTCAGCGTCTGGGGCGCGGTAAATGACGTTTTCTCGCTGATGTGTGCGAGGGAGAACAAAAGGCAACGCGTGGCGCGTACGTGGACGAGTCTTCCAATTTTTTTTGTCTTCCATAAAAGAGAGCGGGGAAAAAAGTACAAGTAACAGGAGAAAAATGAAAGGGAGGGAAAGATGAAACCGAGGAAGAGAAAAGCAAATTAAAGTCCCCTGGGGGGTGGGACGCCGAGTTGGAAAAAGCGGGTCTGAAAAAATTTAATTGGCATCTTCCCCCTGTGCACCTGTATGTACAGCTGCTCCTTGGAAGTTTCGACACCAAGAGTCGCGAGCGCGCGTACACGTATCGATTATTGCGCGCGGGTGTCTCTCTGGGAGACTGCGGGGCAAACAGCTCGAGCGCCGCGCACAATACAGCCCTATTGAAATTCATTGCCCGTCTAAAAATATCGATCCCCGTAAGTGAATAGCTGTAATACTGTCGGGTCGAAACGATAAGAAATTCACGCAACACGAGACAACAACCGCCAATAATTCCCATCAGTGCACGTATACACATATACATATAATTATATACCTTATGTGTGCACCAAACATGTATCATATAATGAGAATACTGCCGACGAGGCGATGTTTGCCGGCATCAGCGCAGCATCACCTCGAGGAGATAATTCGTCCCCCTCGTCGTAATCGCCGGAGTGCAATAAAATTCACAATCATCCGGTACGCACGAGAAAAGAAAAAGGAAGAAAGATGAGGTCAGACTCGGTATATAATATACAACACACACTCGAGAGAGCGCGCGTGTACATGTGCATCAATAAAGAAAGGCTGCACTGTTGTAAGTAAATACGTATATGATGCGCGAGTGCACGCACACGCGTCGCGAGATGGGCTGGGGGAGGGGAGAGAAAAAACAGCTCCTCCCGAGACAGAAGAAAAGGGAGTCTGTGTGTGATGGTGTACCCTCGCAGAGCCAGAGGGAGGAAGCGAAGAGAAAGATAGATAGACGTAACGAAATGGTGGAATAAGAAGAATAATAAGAGACCAAGGGGGGTAGAAGGAAAAAACAAAAAAAAAAAAAAAAAAAAAAAAGACGAAGGAGATAAAAAACGAGAGCGAAACGAAGAAGAAGCAGCAGCTTCTGCCGGCGAGAAGAAGGAGTATACGGGAGGACGAGTCTCCGAGCTAAAGAGAGGGGGGGGGGGAGGCACGACGCGAGGAGGACGATGAACTCTCTCTCGGGCCATCGCGGCCACAGCTTCCGTCGCCTGGCAACACACACACACGCGCGCACGCGCATACCGCCCTCGCAACCCCCTTTGCGAGCTGGTTACGGTGTGTGTACGCGAGCTCGCGTGCACCGGACGGTGGCTCCGTCTCGCTCCTCTAACCCTCCCGCGCGGAGTCAACGTGCGCGCGTATTGATCGCCAACTCGGCGAATGGGGATGTGCCCCCCTTCCCTTCGCCCCGACGCCGCCGCCCGACCATGGCTGCTGTTGCTCCTTCTTGCTTTTTTCGGGCGCGCTCCCGATCCCTCGCTTGCGCTCGGAATTTTATCGCAAACGCGAGCTTTTTGCCAAAAGGGGGGCCCGGGGGGTCTCTGATTTTTCGATCGTGGGGGGGGGCAAGCTTTTATTTTTTATCTACGTATGGATGGCTTCGGGAGGTCGAATCTCCCCCCCCGTTGCTTGTATAAGGGATGTACCTGTGACTCGACCGCAAAAACAGTCACACGTTCCATAATATCGTATCGATCATTTGATTACTTGGCGCAATCGGAGCTGAAAAAAACAGGACAAAAAGAAAGAGAGAGAGAGAGAGACACATTCCAATCCATAGACATCGTCCCTCGAACTTTACGGGCTCGTTAGAGACACGCTCTGTTTCGAGACATCTTTTTTTTCCATTGCTCGACGAGCACGCTCTTTTAGATAACATCATCACCATCGCATAATAATATGTGCCCTCTCGTTTCGGTGTATATATATACGTGTGCTCCGGCGGCGTCATCTGAATCTCTAAATACGTAAGATCCGATAAGCAACGTATAATATAACGTCAACACGAGCCATTCCCCGAAAGAAAAGGTATACAAGCTGTGTTGAGTCCCAGTTTGTTTTCCCAAGCTGAAAAAGAAAGGAAAAAAAAAAAATCCCAGACCAGGTCACTGTTTGCCGGTCCCCCTCTCTCTTGGCTTTTTGGCGATATGGAAAATCGAAAATGAACGGAACAACGGAGCTTTTCTTCCTTCGCGAGCAAAGATATCGGTGTTTCGGGCGCTTGGAAAATCTTTCCTCTACACCGCGGGGGAGAAAAGGGCGACGCCTTGATTATATATTTTTTCAAGCCACGCAGTGTGTGTGTAACGTTCCGGCACATACGGCGATGTAAAGAGACGCGGACGAGTATTAGTTGCATCCGGCTCTCATACGTGTGTGCGCGCACGCGATGGTTGTTGCTGCGTAAGTACAGCGCTTTCAATTTGTTCCGTTTAGCCCCGATTGAGGAATGCGCATCCGTTCGCTCTTAAAATAGTCCCGTGTGCTCTGCCGATGTTGTACTTACACACACGCGCGCACTGCTCGATACAACACGAATGTGGGCGCACGTCTATGTATGATATATCATCTCAACTGTGCGCACACACTCTCGACGTGTAATCGTATACTATTTTTAGTTTTAGAAAAACTCGATGATTATAAGTAATCGCTACACATTGTCTTGTAGTCTGGGGATGACGATGCACACCGATACATACCCTTCCTCGTATATATTCTTTAATTTATACTTTTATGACCATTTTATTAATGCATGCAATAATATTAATCAAACCGATCGAATGATGAAAAATCGGCCTTATCGATTTAACGCTAAAAATATAAACGACGACTCGCCGATCCTCCGTGCCACGAGTTGTTATTCATCAATACGGAGAATCGGATATATCGTCTTTGGTTATTACCTCGTATGTACCACTATGTATTATCAGTCAATCTGTATGTTTTTCCCTCTCGCTCTATTTTCCCAAGGTCCAACATATAATACATCTCCCCTTCCGACTCACGGGGAAGAAGAAAAATAGAGCCGAAAACGCAACTGGACACTTTTCGAGAACACACGAGATAGCGATAAGGAGTGTATAAGGGTACTTGTATGTATACACACAAGAGCCGTCAATAGGCAACCCGGTCCCTTATCTCCATTATTTTTTTCTTCTCGGCGCGAGTGGAAATAAGGGAAAAAAAAAAAAAAATAAATAAATAAAAGAAAGTACAAGAAATGCCGCGCCGACTGGAAATAGAATCGAGAATAATTGCAGTCCGTCATT